CAGAGGGATGGAGTGGACACAACCGCACACCCAGCACCTCAGCTTACCACAGAGGGACGGAGTGGACACAACCGCACACCCAGCACCTCAGCTTACCACAGAGGGACAGAGTGGACTCAACCGCACACCCAGCGCCTCAGCTTACCACAGAGGGACAGAGACAAGACTGTGGAAATGTATGTATCCCCTGGGGTCTACTCTAGGCCAGGAGATGTCTGTGCAGATAAAATGGTGAATGAAAACAGGCAAGGGCCAGCTAGTGGCATGGTGGGTAAGGTAGCTGGGTCCCACATGGCCACCTGTGTGGTTCAAGTCCCAGACGTAACAGCTCGAAAAATGTGTCAGGTGCATGTGTGTATGTGTCCAAAATCCAGAGGAAATATGGAGGAGAAAGGATTGCAGCATGGCCATCACCCTGGGGAGGAGGGTGCTTTCTCCCTCTCACTCTCTCTTTTTCTCTTTCTCACTCCATCTTTCCAGCAAACACACATGCTCTACAGCAAAATTTTAAAAAAGAAAGTAAGAAAATAAAAAGGAAAGGAAAAGGGCTGAATCACATTTAGGGGTTGAGAACCCCTGAGTCTGCATAGACCAGAAATGTACCGTTCCCTAGCCATCAGTGAGGTGAGAAAGACAGAGCCAACTTGAGGGAGGGAAGGTGCCAGGACTCAGGACAAACTAGCACAGCAACCAGAGACCCCTGGAAGAGGCCTCACCTGAGCCGAGTCTCGGAGCGAGAGACGACGTAGCTGACGACCACCGTCAGTATGTAAGGCCCATCTCTCTTTCTGGAAAGCCATTCCTCTTCCCGGCTGTAGCCCCTGCGATCATTGCCCCCTCTGCACATGGACGGTGCACTGAACGTCGGGATCTTAATGTAAAGGAATTGCACAATAATCACAAGAAACAGAAACAATTACTCTTCCCAGGAGAAGCAGAGCTTTGGCATTTGCGTTTGCGAGAGAAGGAGATGGTATCCGAGATCTCGAGCCGCCCTGGACACACAGCCTGGCAGCGCCCAGCCCTACCCTGCAGAAAGCCCCGCAAGCCAGCACACCTTGCCGACGGATGAGGGAGCTGTTAGCAGAAGCTACTCCCAATGGGAATCCCTTCTGTTTCGCTGATCTTGTAAATCCGGTGAATTCAACGTGTCACAGGCATGTCTTACAATACACAAGATAATGCCCAGGTTTTGTAGAGCAAGAGCGTATTAACCTCCGCGTGCTCCAGCAGGGTTCTACAAAGGGTGTCTGGTAAAACTGCAGGGCTCGTGGTAATTGCATGCCAAGTGGGCAAACGATCCAGAGCTGCATGAAGATAAGGAGAAGCTGCTGAAGGCGAGCCACCCGGGCTTTACTATGCTCGCCCTAAAAAATAATTAGCGTGACCTAGGAAATCACGCTGTGAGGAGTGCGTGCTGCCTTTTCTCCCCAGAAGGAAGCTGGAACCTACCCGGCTTTTCTCCTTACAAGGCAACTTGGTGTGTGTGTATGTGTGTGTGTGTGTGTGTGTGTGTGTGCGCGTAGCACATGCACACTCATGAGTACCTGACAGTCAAAGACAAACAGCAAAGCTGATATTAAAATAAACACCACGTCAGAAGCAACAAGGAGTGCTGGAGGTTAACATCATGCCTCCCCCGTGCTCAGCCCAAGCCAGGGCAGCCGTAGCCTCACTAGAGTGGGCCCCGGATTGAGGTCCTACCCAGTCCTCCCTACTGCGGGCCTACGAGCAGGACTCCAGGCCTGCTGTGCACGGAGCAGGACATTCCTCTCCAGGCCTAACCCAACCTCCAGCCCATTCCTCCACTGACCGGAGCTTTGCAAGGGGCCCAAGCATTCAAGAGAATCATTGCATGCCACAGCTCAGTCCCCCTGGGTTGGCCAAGGCCACCAAGCAAGCTGAGGGGACAACTTCATTTGGTTTTCCCTAGGAAAATGGTAGCTAGAATATGCATCTGCTAGGACATGAATGTAAATGCTAGTAAACAAAGAGAAGGGGCATCTCCTTCAGATGCCCCCCCGCCCAGAAGCATGACCTAGGAAATCACACTGTGAGGAGTGTGTGCTGCCTTTTCTCCCCAGAAGGAAGCTGGAACCTACCCGGCTTTTCTCCTTACAAGGCAACTTGGTGTGTGTGTATGTGTGTGTGTGTGTGTGTGTGTGTGTGTGCGCGTAGCACATGCACACTCATGAGTACCTGACAGTCAAAGACAAACAGCAAAGCTGATATTAAAATAAACACCACGTCAGAAGCAACAAGGAGTGCTGGAGGTTAACATCATGCCTCCCCCGTGCTCAGCCCAAGCCAGGGCAGCCGTAGCCTCACTAGAGTGGGCCCCGGATTGAGGTCCTACCCAGTCCTCCCTACTGCGGGCCTACGAGCAGGACTCCAGGCCTGCTGTGCACGGAGCAGGACATTCCTCTCCAGGCCTAACCCAACCTCCAGCCCATTCCTCCACTGACCGGAGCTTTGCAAGGGGCCCAAGCATTCAAGAGAATCATTGCATGCCACAGCTCAGTCCCCCTGGGTTGGCCAAGGCCACCAAGCAAGCTGAGGGGACAACTTCATTTGGTTTTCCCTAGGAAAATGGTAGCTAGAATATGCATCTGCTAGGACATGAATGTAAATGCTAGTAAACAAAGAGAAGGGGCATCTCCTTCAGATGCCCCCCCGCCCAGAAGCATGTTCTTCAGCACACAGCGCAGCGGGAATCCCATAGTGCAAGGACTCCGGGAGTCTCAGCTGTCAGGATGGGTGGCTGATTACACAGAAAGTGCTGTATCTTAATGCTGTGCCAAGAAGGAAGGAACCCAGCTCTGCTTCTAGCATGAAGAGTGTGAGGCTGGAGAGTCCCCGTGCTCCTCGGAGTAGCCAGGCCTGACACTCCATGGAAAGAGCACAGCCTCCCAAAGTTAGGAACTGAGAGGCACCCGCTTGGGCATGCTTGAGTACCCCCTTGGTACCTCCTGTGCTTATCCGGGGACAACATGCAGAACCATATCTCCCACTGTGTGGAGATTGTATCAGTCAGCTTGAGCTGCATAAGATGTGTAACGAATCACTATAGACTGGGTGGCTTCAACAGTAGAAATGGATCTCACCGTTCTACAGGTTAGAAGCCCAAAATCAAGGTGGAGGCTAGGTTGGGTCCCAGCGAGGACTCTTGTCCCGTCCTGTAGATGGCCACTCTCTCATTACGTTTGCATGTGGCCTTTTCCTCTGAGCACATTGAAAGAAAGCAAAAGATCTCCTTCTCTCTCTCTCTTCTTATAAGACCACCAGCCCTCAGGTTAGGTCCCCACCCTTACAACCTCCCTTAACCTGAATTTCTCCTACAAGCCCCATCTCACAGTGCAGCCTCACTGGGGGTTAGGGCTTCAACACATGCATTTCAGGGAGAAGACACATTTAGTCTACAGTAGAGAGAAACATTATCATCACTATCCCTGTGTTCCAGAGAAGGCCAAGTAGAAAACGGTTCATCATCACCAGGGACTGGCAGCAGGAACACGAGCAAACAGAACTCGTGAGGCAGGGCTCCCTCCAACTCCAAATCCACATGCAGCTCCCACCTCACTGTGCTTTGCTCTAGCTCAGAGATGACAGGATATAGTGGCCTCCGCTGAGAACCATGTGGCCAGCTTGTCCTTGGGTCCAGCCTGAAGCAGCCCCAGGCCTCATCACTGCAGCCCAGGCCAATAAGGGCAGGGCATGGCCCTGCGCGTGCTCCTTCTCTAGCTCTGCTCTCCCCGGAGCCTCGGCCCTGCTCGCCTCTTCTCTGCTGATGACTTCAGCACCAAAGATCGCCTTTATGGCTTCAGACTCCCCCGCCTCACCCTGAGAGAGCACTTCTTCATGGCCGGGCTGATAATTTATTTAGTTTTGCTAAGTGTTCCCTTACAGGGAAGAGGAAGGAGGAGGGGTAGGAAGGAAGATCGGTCGCTGTCTTTGAAAAGCCGACTCATAAATGTTCAGGTACGTTCCTTTTTCTGTCGGCTAAGCAGCTTTCCCAGCCAAAAAAATAATCACACTGCAAGCATCTCCCAGGTCCTGGGAGAGCAGAGATATTTTATCTCCCCTTGGTGACGGCGCTGAGCAGCTAATGCTCTTGCATTTTAAGCTCGAATAGATTTCTGTCCAAGCAGCTATCGCTTGTTGCTGCTCCCGTAAAGGTCTCGTAGCCCTGGGAAACAAAAGAAACCTCCTTCAAGCAAGGCGAAGGTTGCTGCTGGCCTCAGGCCAGTGAGAAGCCAGACCTTCTGTGCTCTAGAGCCCAGTCCCAGGACAGAGAAGGAAACAGGCCCAGAACACAGGAGGGAGGAGGGCTTGCAGTGCCAGGGGAGTGGCCCAGCCCGCATCTGGACCCGCAGTCAGTGCTCTTTGTGCCACCGGGTTTGACTGAAAATCTTACCAGAAACACGTCCACAAGCTGGTCTTGTTTCCACTCCTCCGTTGATGCCAGAGCCTGTGGACAGGGAAGGGCACATCTCCACGGAACGAAAGCTCTTCCCCTTCTGAGTAGGGCACGACCCCCATGTCCACCTCCTCAGGGCTACAGTCCTGACCCTCCCTAGTAAAGTAAATAAATAAACTAATTAATTAAAAACAAAAGTCCACATCTTCCTGTTAATCTCAGAAACGCTCTCTTGCTGCCCCATTTTGTTGTCGCCTTCTTGATGCATTATGTAAAGGTCATGGACATTGATAAGAACACGAGACGTCCCGGCTGAGAGGTTACACCCCAAGCGCGGACGGGAAGGTAAGTCACGACAGAGGAGAGGGGCTTTCCACACAGGACAAGGACCTGCGCGTGCACAACAAATAAATGTTGCTGGAAGCGGCTTTCAGAGACACAGCTCTCACAGACGCAGTAATCCTCATGCTAATCACTAGAATAAGAGCAACATGTCTTCCTATATCCTCTTTATTAAATATTAATAAGATGAACACTGAGTAAGTAACCCAAATCAGGCTTCAGCCCCTTTGTAGAGACCTGGCCCCAGTGGCGTCTCTCCTGCAATACCCAGTCTCCTCCTGAGCCTGATTCAGGGAGGGCACCGACATTCTCCCAGCTACACTTGCCGAAGGCCTGGGCCTCGGTGTACATCTCCCCCTTCCTTCATGTCTTCCTCCACGCAGTCCTTCTGCCTCCTAAATCTCCCTTAAATTCTCTTCCCTCCTCTTCCCAATGCCACCAGCCTATTTCGGGTACATTAGACCACCCTTCTGAGTGATAGTAGGTGTTTTCTCCTAATCTCCCTGCCTCTGGGAGGGGAGTGTGGTGGAGTGCTCTGTCCTGCTCACATGGCCACCCTTCTGAGTGATAGCAGGTGTTTTCCCCTAATCTCCCTGCCTCGGGGAGGGGAGTGTGGTGGGGTTCTCTTTCCTGCTCACATCGCGCCTGTTTAGGATCCCTAGGTGACTTCCCACCAGCTGTGAAATGTGCGTTTCCCAAACTTCTCCACCGAGGCGCTCTGAAAACAGGAGAGGGTACAGATTGCTGGAGACAGACCTTTCTAAGAGGGATGACACAACTCATAAGCAAATCTTTCAAAATGGTGCTTAAGTCTCTGCTCTCCCCTCCAGGCAGCATGGGTTTGAATCTGGTCCAAGGGGCGAGCATGAAGATTCTTGATTTCATATTGCCATAAGGGGGGATTAGAGGTGTTATAAATGTCACTGAGTGAATAAATGAAACAAAGCATGCCTAACACGCCTCTTTGCAACTAAAGTGCACAAAAGAAGAGAGTTGAAAGCAGCACAATGAATTCAATGTACAAAAAGACCTTCTGTCCAAGGCTACATAACATTGGCACAGGCTGCAGTGAGCAAGGGCGGATGGAGAAGCATATTGCTGGTCACATGTTTTTTGCCTCAGACCCTAAGCCAGAGGTAGAAACATATCTCCTGAGATGCTACAGGGCCTTGCATAGACTCCAACTCTCTGCCAGATCTCAGCATAAAGATACAAGCCTCCCCTGACTGTAGGGACCCTGTCTACATAGCCATGCCTTCTTCCTTCCACAGGCTACAACTTCCAGTCCTCAGCATAGCAAGAAGCTTAAAGATGCTTCACTACTTGAGGGGAGGCCTAAAAGGAGCAGAAATAGAAGCGTGTCAAGGCAATGGATCGAGTGGCATTTGTCTTCAGTGCTTTTTAAAGAAGAACTACAGGTGACATGTGAGTCTCCAGTTCCACCAGAGAAACTCTGGCAAGATCAAGCACTTCCTGGAGCAGCAGCCCATCCTGTATTAGGTAAGAATGGACCATTCAGCCTGGCCCTGGCTCCCAGCACATGGACCTCCAGGTCTGATGGTGAAACAATAGTGAGCTCTCACACAGCACTGGGGGTGTGATGACTGTCTCCAGGTGTGCACAAACACTAATAGCACAGGTAAGCTGCATGAAATCTACGGCAAGCACCTTTGAGCATCCCCGTCTTATAAATGAGGAAACTGCCTCCCTGAGTTTGTAGGATTTATTTTAATAACATAGCCAAGATCACACAAGTGGTAGAGTCAAGGTGGGAAGCCAAGTCACCTGGCTCCAGAGTCCCTCCTCTTAAGTAGCGGCAAGTATGTATCAGGAAGATAGATGCTTGGGCGGGAGCCAAGCACGCTCCATCAGCCACCTTGGTTGGTAAGCGTGGAACCCCAGTGGAATCTACTCTACTAAACATGCTGAGTAACGTCAAAATGAGGAATTAAATAATGGCCCAATGCAAAGATGGCACAACATAAGGAGAAACTGACAGTATTTAGAATGTAAATAGGGAGAAAATATGGACCAAAACTGATTTTTTCCTTTTTTTTGAAGAATTATTTATTTAATTTAAATATTTATATATTTTTATACTCTTGCTAAAGGGTGCATGTGTTCACCAGAGAGAGAAAGAAAGCGATAAAGCATGCCAACAGGTTCAGGACTCAAACTGTGGTTAGTCATGTGGGGGTCCAGTCCCTTAACCACCATGCCACTTGCTGGAAAAAGTTTTTCATTTTTATGAAAAATCATAAAAATGATTTTTCAAGGATTACATAAATTCAAAATTTAGAAGACATTAGAACAGTGATCTGATAGTGATGTGGAGAGTATGATTCTATAAGACACAAAATACAAGAAGAGAGCAGACGAAATCAAGACACGGGTGCACAATGAAATGATAAAAACGAGGGGAAAAGGTGAAGATAAAAACACAGTTCAATGGTGAGATGCAGATGCACATTTGAGCCAGTGAAAAACAGAATGCGCTTTGCAGAAAATAGAATCAATGAAGCCAAGCTGGAGATCACACTGGAGAAACACAGCCATAATACACAGGGAAAGAAAATAGAAGCGAGCATGAGGGGAACCGATGGCTGAGGACAGGGAATGGAAGTCCAACCTGAAGTGACCTGATGAAAGAAGACAACCAAAGCAATAGAGAAGCAGCAGCAATGGAAGGCAAGTGGATCTGAAATCAGCATCTTCCAAGAAAAAGCGTTCACTGACCTCTAAAGGGAAAAGTCCCACATGTAAGCTGAATTTCAAGAGAAAGTACTCCACCAGCAATATTCCAGTGGGAATCTCATTTACTATATCCCAGGATCATGAATTAGGAGAAAAAAATAGTTTGGTTTCAGACTTTTCTTGCCAGATATAAAATAAACAGAAGACAAAAGAACGATTTCTACACAGTTTTAAAGGACACAGTTTGTAAATCAAAAGTCTCAATCAATTAAGCTACTGTGAAAAGGCAAAAGACAGGGCCAGATGGTGGAGCAGCAATAAGGAAATGTTCTGTGAGGCTGACCCACACAGGAAAGTCCAGGGTTCACACCCTATGGTCTCTCTCTTCATGCCAGATGTGAAAGTGCTCAGACGTGCATACAATGAAATGATAAAAACAAGGGGAACAGGTAAAGAAACAAAACATCTATCAATGGTTAAATTCAGATGCACATTTGAGCCAGTGAAAAACAGGACGGGCTTTGCAGAAACAGTAACTTTGCAGAAACAAACTGTATTGCTTGTTCACGACGGCTGTAATTAAAATCTTTTAAGCCTTAAAAAAAAAAAAAAAAAAAAAAAGGCTGCTGTGACAGGCTTGATCATGGTATTAAGACCCTGTTCGGGATGCTTCGCATTTGCTCCTGAACAACTTTCAAACAACTGAAGAAATTAAGACTGGAATCAAAAAGATTAATTGATACCAATAATAATGAACACACCATTCTCCATAACCTTTGGGACACAATAAAAGCAGTCATAAGAAGGAAGTTCATAGCCATTAGTGCTCACAAGAAAAACTAGAAAAGTAGCAATTAAATAACCCAACCTAACTGGACCTAGAAACTGCTTTATAATACATAACAAATTAATGAACAAGAAATTTTCTGTACCAAATGAAAAGGCATCAAACTATGCAAATTGAAGCAACATACACAATATCCTGTTAGAAATAACAACAAAAATGAGCAGAAATTCAATGCTGATGTGAGCTGTTAAGACATGCACAGATCAATATCATCCTGTGATAAAGATGATAGAACATAAATAAGGACAAAAAATAAAATTGCTAAACGTCAATTTTTTGATAAAATGATTCTGAAGTTAATCTGAAAGGAGAAGCAATTTAAAATTTCAACAAAGTTCAACCTCATTTGTTATCTTATGTGTTTGTCAAACATTAAAAATGTCAAACATTAAAAATTTGACAAACACATAAGAATAATTCAAGTTTTAAATATCTGACATCACATAATTTTTTAAAATGCATATTCCAAACATTGGCATATCCTTCCAGAGTCTTGTTGGGTCCCTGAAGATCATGCAAAGATCCATGAGCTCCTATGTTCAGAACTCCTACAACTTCATGCTAACAGATGAACAATGGGGGTGTAGTAAGATGGTTATTTCATGTATTGCTGAAGGAAACATATACGCATACCATGATATGTATTAAAGGCTTTGAAAATATATATTGAGTTGTCAGAAAAGTCACGATGTATTTTTTTCCATGCAAAAAATGCATTGTAATTTTTCTGACAATCCGATATAATTTATTCTTGGTATAAACACTTTTTAAAAAGTCTTTGAAGGAAATCTGAGAGGGACACAATGATATCTATACAAAGATGTTCATCATACTTTTGTTTATATTAATGAAAATGTATACTTCAATTTCCCAAATTAGGAAGTTTTTAAATACATCATGTTACATGCTTACAACAGATTATTACAGGCCGGGCAGTGGTATGGTGGTAACACAACACTCTGGGAAGGTGACCCACGTGGGACGGGCTGGGGTTCATATCCAGAGACCTCTCTGTACACCGGGTGCACATGTGCCTATGTTTGGGGCTGAAAAATGGGGAGAGTCACAGCTGTTGTAACTGCTTCTCTCTCTCTCACGAAAGAAATTTTTCTTAAAAATATGAATTATTATTTCACTATAACAATATTTTCTAAGGTATTTAATGACATAAGGAATACTCACAAAGGATGTAATGAGAAAAGAGAATCTTGTGTATGTGGTATATGAATAACTACATTATATACACATACTTGGAAAAACTGTCAAGATGACAAGGCCAGACTATGGTGTGCCAGTTAAGGCAACTGGATCAGATCTCACGCGGCCCACCCCACTGCTTGAGTCTCATACCTGGTAACGAGAAACACACTGGACATGTGTGCATGCATGCTCAAAATCTCAAAAGGAGAAACAGAAGATGGGATTGCAGCATGACCATTCCCCATGGAGAGTGCATTCATACTTTCCCTCTCTCTCTGTTTTTCTCTCTCTTTTTTTCCCTCTCTATGACTCTCTAAAGTGAGTGCATTACACCCTCTGGCAAAATTAGTATGTATATATGTTTATAATTATTATTTCTGTATGAAGAAACCATGAAGTTTTTCCTTTTTATTTCTGAAAAAATATACTTTGCCTTTGAAACAACCATGAAAAATGTTAATCCTCAAAAGAATAACTATGGAAACATAATTTCAATAAGAAAATCCAGAACCAGAAACTCAGAAGACAGAACTATGGAAATAGCCCCTTCAACAGTGGGCTAGCCTTTCAAGTCTCTCCTTGGGATAATGTTTTATTAGTAAAACATTCTCCATGCTCCTGAGGGCAGAGCTAAGCTGGTCACTCTGCAATCAATGACTGTCTACATCCAGGGGCGAGGATGACCACTCATTTATTTTGACATACCTAACACATAATTTTTCTGGTTTATTTTTGTTTGGATAATTGCATATTTGTAGAGAAAAAGACATCACTACCTAGATTTTCTTGGATATGGATCTGAGACAGTTTATGCAAAGCAATCCGAAAGTCAAGAAATGTTATTGAGGTCTCCGCCAAGCTCTGCACGAGTCACTTGGAAAGGCTTCAGAAAAAGGACATACATCTGACCTCTGAGGATTAAAATATTGTGAGGAGCCAAATCAATCTAGTATTTTCATGGCATGAGAAAATCACAATGACTAAACACCCAGGCTTTGAAGTGAAAATGCTCGAAGATTGGAATCCTGGTGTTATCATTGTCGACTCTGTGACCTTGAGCAATTTGCTTAAGTTCTCTGAACCCCTGCAGAGATAGCATGAGGTAATAACAGGTCCTATTTCACAGAGCCATAGATAGGTACAGCTAAATGCGACAATGTGCTCAAGAAGGTGTGTACAAGGGTTCATTCTGTCTTCTTGATCCTAGGCTATTGCCCTAGTTTCAGATGACTGTGTTTGATTAGGAACCTGAAACACATTACCTTTTTGATGTCAAGTTCTTGACATTGATTTAAGTCTTGTAGAAGGGAATTAATGTTTATTGAGTGCTGGCTTTTTACCATGCACTGTGCTAGGACTTCACAGCTTCATGAGAATAAAGCTTTTTATTGCTGATAGGCCATGTTCACTTCTCATAGACTCAGAGGAATTACACTTCTTGATGTCACAAGCAACCCCAAAGTTGCAACGGCTTAACAAATCCATTTTTCATTTTCATTACAGTTCAAGAGTTCAGAAGTTCAGTGGAAAGTCTTCTAAGATGGGGTCTTCAAAACATTCGTGGAAAATGCGCATTGTGAAGAAACTACATGGATTTAAATGTTTTTCACAAATAAACTCCTATTTTAATTCCATTTTCCACAAATGTTTTGAAGTCTCCTGGAATGTGGTGATTTGGACATCCATTGACTTCCATGTCATGGTACCATCTTACTTCAGAGCCTCTACAAAGACTCCAACAAGACCTCTGTGTTCAGCCACCCAACAAGTGAACTCCAGGCCAGAAGGAAGAGTCCCCATCCCTGTCATGCACATTCTTCTAGCTGAGACCAGTCACAAGGAATCTGCCTGACTTCAGGAAGGGCTGGAGCTGCAGTCTTCCAGTAAGTCCAGGAAAAGGAAGCATTAGTGCCCCTGGCCAGTCTCCGCCACAAGCACCCACGCCTCCATTACCACTAAATAGCATTTTTTAAAGTTTCTGTCTTTCTTTCATGAGAGAGAGAGAGATCACTTCCACAGGGTCTCCTGTTGCAATTCTCTTCTGGCCCTTCAGCTAGCCAGCATCACAATTGCACACGTACCCTGCATGTGGAGGTTGACTGGAAACTGAACCCCAACCTCCCACCAGGCTTTCAGCATGGCAGTTTCAAGGTACCTCTGTGCCACCACACAGAGTTAGTGCTGTATGGTAGTCTTGCTCTGAATGGTAGGGGCCAGCTTTGGTTTCAAAGTGGTCATGTGTTTTCTTAAACCCATAGTCAGATTTTTTTTCTTGAAACCCTTGCTTTGTTGAGTGATAGAACAATTCATTGTGTGCCTAAGTGTCGTTTCCCTTGATGGGTAAAAGGCATAAAGTTTCCTTGCAAGGCGTATTGTGGAGCAGCTGGAGGAAGTAACCTTGGGACAGCAACCTTGCAGGTGGAAGAATAAATACGAATTCTAGAAGGACGCAGAGAGAACTGGGGAGGACAAGATCCTCCAGCAGGATCTTACGTCCTGACATAGGAGCTCATAGGGAGCAGTCCAGGGGACTTTTCAGGGTACTCTTGCCATTGTGCAAGGCGCACAGAGACACACTGGCTCAGTGGAGAGAGGCGGAAGTGTGGGGAGGACTGATGGTCTACAAGAGACCTGGGCTGGGCCTGGGAGGCTGTAGAGGTTGGGGACTTGAAGGTGGAGGCAATAGCAAGGAAGAACAAGGGCTCTCGCTGTGGATTCCAGCAAGAGCCCCCTGGAAACAAACAATTCCTCTGACCCCAGAGCAGAGGCCTGAAACTCGGCACATGAAACAGGGTCTCTACCTGTGGACCATGTGCTACAGGAGCTCCCTCCTGAGCCCAGGTGCCATCTGGAAAGAAGAGGCAGGAAAACTATCTAGCTCCCCCACTCCTGCAAAAGAACTGGGCTTGCACAAGGTGATTGTATCTGAGTAGGGCAGAAAATAATTGGACGCAGCAGAATGAAGAGCTGGAATTCTTCACGTGCTTTAAGTTGATTGAGGACTTGTTTAAAAAAAAAACTAATTCAGTAAATGAAAATAAAAATTTACCTCTTTGCACTTCTGAATTATGGTATGAAAATTTAACCCATTAAACTGCCTTATTTCATTGGATCCTGAAAACGAGCCTGTATGGTGTGTATCATTAGACACACAGGATGATGAGCATCAAAAGTTTAGGAAAAAGTCACCCAGCATGGGCAGGACCAATACCCAAACCCAGGGCAGTCTGCCAACTGCCACTTGACGCTACGCTGTTATTGAAAGGGATTTTTTCAAATCTCGGGATGTTGGTAAATAGTCCTCATTTGGCTTTCAGAGGCATTAGCTGTATCAGCTGAGTATATTAATTAGATGCAAGAAGAAAGTTCTCTCATCCTTCAACCCCAGTCCTCAAGCCTGATCCCTGACTCACAGGCCAACCCTGTAAAACATCTACTGGTTTAATCAGCACATCCCTGGGTTGGGGAAGGTTCATGTTGCTGGCAATTTGAAGATGAAATTTCAAGGAGATTGGGGCCTCTGACCTAGAATTTCAACAGAGAAAGCAGAAAGGACAAATTAGAAAGAGCACTAATTAGCATGGTCTGAGAGAGTATGGAAGGCATCAAACATATATCCATAAGCCACAAGACTGTGAGGCTCTCAAGATGTTAATTAGTTGTTTCTGTTAGCAAACATTATGTCAACAAACAAACAAAATAAAAGGTTTCTTGTTCGATTAGGGCTGGACGCACTGGGCTAAACAAAATAAAACAGATTCCCAATGCCATAGATCTTTAAAAACTTGTATGTACTGATTATATTCAAGAGGCAAATGACACAGGATTTTCCCAAATTATTTGGTCACAAGCCCTTTTTTTTAGAGAGAGATTTTTGCTCTAAGGTGCATGCACTTGCTGGAGAGACAGAGAGACAAAAAGCAAGAAATCATCCCCAGGGGTTATGGCCATGCCACCATCCCTTCTCCTCCATTTTCCTCTCAGGATTTTGGGCACACATGCACACATGCCCGGAGTGAGTTTAAGCCACCAGGTCCAGGACTCAAACCGTGATCCACTATGTGGGAGTCCAGCAGCATAGCCATTACACCATCCACTGGTCCTGGTAGCCAGCCTTTGATGTCCACACGTCATCTCCTGGATCTTACAGACCATACCCACCCCGTGGTACCTAGGCAGAGGTGTGTTCCCAGCTTCTGCAGATGAGGGTCCACAGCCCAGACTCTGTGCAGCTTATACCAGTGACCCAGAAATGATAACGCCATCAGATTTGACTTCTGGAAAACACAATCCAAGAAAACCTTAGTAAAATACTTACCGTTTTCTGGGAACCATAATGCAGTACCACCTTCACACTGATGGGTCTGCACAAATTCAGAGTGCGAGGTGCTCTGAGCGTGCACTCTGCAGCTTGCTGCTACGTCAGCGGGGCAGACTCGTCGTAATTCAGATAACTAGTCACTAGACGAATTACTGTGCATTTTTAAAATCTGCTTATTTTTCTTACCTTTGTTAGGGAGGAAAAAACAGAGTCCAGTCATAGAGCATTGTCGTACATGTTTTTGGTTTTTTGTTTGTTTTTAATGTTTTTAAATTTTTTTATTTTAATTATCATCATAATCGTCTTTATATTACATTGGATTACATATAACTTTACAGTGTATTACATTGCTTTTTCAAAAGGGAATGCCATGCATGTCAGTCAGTACAGAGACATTACTCTCCCCACTTCAACATTCAATATTTTTCTGTTTTTCCCAATCGTTATTATTATTATTCTAATTAAACAGTCAATCACTATTTCTCATTTTGCTTGTAAAAAGGCTTTACCCATCATGAAATACTTCTCAGACCAATCCAGTTGAGAATACTATACATGTCATCATCAACAGGTAATAAGCCATATCTGTTTCTCACTGACATCCTGCCTCTCTATTTGTTCTCTTTCTATCTCTCTATCCTCTTCTCTTCACCCCTGTCATACGTGTTTTAATCACAAGGTAAAGCGACTTGAAAGTATCATGCTAAGATGTTGCAGTTTTGAAACTGAACTTTCAGATTTTTGCCATAAGGTATGTGCACTCACGTGAGAGAGACAGAGAGAGAGTGAGCGAGAAATCACCTCCCAGTGGGGATGGCCACGCTGCAATCCTGTCTTCATTTTGGGCATACACACACACACACACACACACGGTATGATTTTCACCTCCTGCCTACAGTTGGCCACGTGGGAGTCCAGTGCTTTAACCACCACACCACCTGCTGGGCCTGCAAACTGTGCACTTTGACATCAAATCAAAAAAATCATTCTGAAGCCCCAAAGTCGGTCAGCTCTTGATGTGTAAGTCCCGTCCTGTGGCAACGTCTGTCCTTCTTCGAGCAGTGCTGGTCGTATAGATTGAAAGATAAAACAACCCAACACAGCCTGCTTCCTCCCAGGAAGGAAGGCCTGCAGTGGAGTGGAGAATGCAGTTGCTGCCTGAGTTTCCCCACACAGGACCCTAGAGGTACGCAGAGATGGGATTTTAATATTCATCAAAGGCCTTGGAACCATGAGTTCCTTCTGCAATGTCTAGAAGATTTATGAAACTGGAAGCTCTTCCCCGCTCACGTTCCCTGGAAGCCTGTGTTCTGGGCCATCAGGAGGGAAGAAGATGTAAATTCTGTGCATTCCCTATAGCTAGACTCGCTTGGTGGTTAGGTGATGTGGGTGCTGTCTGGGGAGTTGTACCCTCAGAGCATTCGTCCCTTTTTTTATTTTAAGTTGATTGAGGCTAGAACACTTTAAACTGAATGTCCAGGCCACGCCATGGAAAAAAAAATTGAAAACTGTTTGCAAGCAACACTCCATTCGAAGAAACTCGGTGAAGCTTAGCTGGTGTGCTGCTGTTTGAGCTGTCCCAGAAGCTGGGGAGGCGATCAGAGAGCAAGACACCGGCCTTGGGCTTGCAATCAAGTGCCACAAAATCCCATATGAGTGCCACCAAATACCATGTCAACCCTCACACCTGGACTCCAGACCCTTTTGCAAAGGCTAACGTGAAGAATTGCTCAGAAAACCACTGTGGGCCTCTAAATTGTTGGAGTGACGTAGCTTTGGCCCTGTGCTCTCGGCCAGCACCGTAACCACAGGGAAGGGATTCCCAGGGATGGTAAAGCGGCCTCCTCCTGGAGCGGCAGGGCATCCTGGGGAACAGGCACAGCCTGGCCCAGCAGCACCTGCCCTCCCCCACAAAGGGTCAGCCAGCACCTGCTCGCTAGGCCTCTAAGCTCCGGACTGAGCACAGGAACACAGGGACAGACGTGGCTGCATCCTCCCCAGGCGTGGGCTGCATCGACCTTGGTTAGAGAGGCCAGCTTTGTCGCACAGGATGACCCCAGTCTTTTGTCCCGAAGGTCCTTTCTCTAGTCCCTTCTCACCTGAGCCAGCTCTTTTCTGAGGAAGCACAACCAAAGAAGCCCACAACATTCCAAGCCCTAAAAGTGCAATGTCGTTACCCACCCACCCCCAAAACAAGGCAGCCATCAGAGGGCCGCTCTGAGAAGACTGACCAGGCTCTTCCTGAAGCACAATAGGGCTCTCTGGGCTCCCGAGAGTGACGTCCACTTTAAAGGAGCTGTTCACAAACCTCGGATGGTCAGCGGGGCTCTGACTTCCACCTGGGGAGTATAAAATGGGGGTGCCCAGGAGGGGGCCACAGCTCCTCAGAAGCCACCATGCCCCCCTCTGTCTCCCTCCAGCGGCCTGGCCGTGCAGCAGGGGTCACTGTACATCCGCAGAGAGGCTGCCATTCCATTCAGTGCCACCAGCAGGAGTAAGGGCATTACCTTTGCAGAAAGGGGACAGCAGAAACAATTTGGTAGAGGTTCCAAAGGACAAGGAAAGATAGGGCACTCCCAGCCGGGAAGGCATCCTGCCCTGACAGGGAAGTAGCCAGAGAGAAGTAAGAGTCCCCAGCCACCCACATGACGTCCCTGGCAGGGACAATGTACCCTCATGGCAGTCTACCCCACCCATCCTGCCCACGTGTCCTTACTCTGCCTAGAAGGTGGTGATTCCCCTGAAGGAGGGTCCCCGCCCTGGAGAATGCTCACAGCCAAGCTGGGAGGACCCCACAGACCTCCCGCTGCCCAGTGGGTTCATGGGGGCCTAAGAGCCCTGAGTCTTGGCGAGTGGGCCCTGGTTCCCAGACAGCATTCTCTTTACCATAATTGGGGTTCCCTGAGAATATTTTTAAGCTTCTCTCTGTATAAACAAAGCAAACACAACATTTTGGAAATCACTTATCTGACCTAGCCATCACACGTGTAGACAGCAATTTCAGATGCTCAAATGCCCAGCCTGTGGTCACCCAGCCTATGAGGCCACCAGGTCAGTCACAGGAAGGGAAGAGCACATGGCATACTTCTGGGAGAGGCGACCCCCGCGGACGGGAGCCCAGGAAACGCACCAGGGCACAGAGCCAGGTGAGAGGCTGAGCACGGTGCCTGAAGACTCCACTCAGGCCTGCCGCCCACCCTCGTCCCCTCCCTCACAGCCTGGCCTCCCTGGCCACGGGCCAAGGACAGTCACATTTGCTGCCCCTGAAGTCTGGGAGGAGCTGAGCAGGATCTGCAAAAAAGCAGGAGGAAGTGCTGGCAAGTGGAGACAGAGGCCACACCTCAGAAATGTTCCTTGGGGCCCCAGGGGGCGTAGCATTTGAGGCACTAGACTCCCACACAGCTGACGATGGTTCGAGTCCCAAACCTCGCAGCTCGCTCGCTCTCTCTCGTAAGTACACATGCCCTGTACCAAATTTAAAAAGTAAAAACAGTGATAAATAAAATTAAATGTTCTTTAAAGAGGAAGAAAGGGAAAAATGTTCCCGGGCAGGTTCATCGGTAAGTGATAAAGGCATGACGTGACCAGGAGGGCAGCTGCGAGAAGCCCCATGAGGTGGCCTCTAATAGGCAAGGTAAATTATTTTCTCTTCCAATGAAGCACACTTTTCTATCCATTTCCTCCTTTTGACATGTACAGTGGCATGAAGAGAGGAGGGGAGGGCATGGAGTAACCAGGGGAGAAGGGACGAAAATGCTTCGACTTTTAATGGAGGTTCCTCTTGGTAAAGTACCCTGGCGTCCCCATGGGTCTGGAGAATTAAATGCTGTCACTCAGGACTGAAAGCAGAGTCGTCCCGTTTGCAGACACCTGTCATAATTAAACTAATGGCTCTGAAAATGTGCCTTGATATTAAATCTATCTTCCACTGAGGAGCAGAGCTGATTAAAACTGCCGTTTGACAGTTAATGATGAACCTCTTGCTTGCTGAGCTCTGTGGCTGGACCTGGCCACTTCAGGCTGTCCCCTGCCCATTCCTCCATCCTCCGTCACAGGCCCACCCCAACCCCCCCTCCTCCTGCTTGCTCCACCCAACGGCAGCGCCATCCCCAGCTCCTCCTTCCTTTCTCTATAGAAGCCAGTTTCCCGCTCTAGCCTCCCCTCTTCCAGCCCTACTCAAGAACAGGTATTCTCAGTGAGAAGGATCAAGGCAACACCAAGTTATTGTCTGGTTGTCACAGTCACTGAGGCTGTGCAAGTCGTTGGTGGCAGGAGCAGAGGACAGAGCCCTGGCAGCCTTCGAGGACACCTTGGGAAGACTCTCCAACACACCCAGGGAGGAGCTGGTCCCTGCCCTGTCCTGGAGTCAAGAAATGGAAGTTACAAGATGGCTGAGTTGACATCCCCTTTTCAACAGGCTTTGGGCGAGGTCAGAGTGGTCTCCACATAGACCTTCTGGACAACAACGTATTCGAACAATCACATGGGAATCTGAAGCCGCTCACGTCTGTACACAACTATGGGGTGTGGGAGGCCTTTGGCTGGATCCCAGAGGCAGAGGTTTGGAGAGTGCAGATCAAGGCCCTCTGCTCTTTGGACTTGGGCTTCTCTTCCCCAAGCCAGGAGCCATGAACATGCTTCAAAGGGCTCTTCTGCACCCAATAATCCGAAATGTCTTCCCAAAGGAAGGCTATAGTATTTCCTTTTTTTTTTAAAGAGTTTTTAGCCTTAGGGTACATGTACTCTCCATAGAGAGAGACAGAGACAGTGAGAGGGAAAATGAGAAATCATTCCCCAGGGGAATGGCCACACTGCAACCTCTTCTCCTCCATTCTCCTCCTGGGAACTTATACATGCGCCTGGTATGATTTTGAAACCTCTGAGTCCAGGACTCAAACCTCAGTCGGACATGTCAGAGTCCAGGGACATAACTGCTATGTCATCTGCTGGCCCCAG